AAGGCTTCCGCGACTCCTTTAGTACCCGACAAAGGCTTGGGGATAATAGTTCTGGATTAGCTAAAAGGCTCAATTGAATAAGGCTCAATCCATCAAAAGGCCATTCCATTTGACCCAACATACTAAAATAATTCACACACTATGAGAAGGTACACAATCACTGATCTCTAATTTTAATTAACTCATCTTGAATCTTGAACTGACTAAGGCGTTGGAGTGCAAACCATGCAGGTCCACCCCGTGCCACCGTGAAGGAGATCGAAAGCACCGCTCAAGACAAACAGTCATCTAACTCTCATCATTTTTATTTCTATCAAGAAGCTGGAACATCCATTTCTAGTTCCCGAATGGAACACATTCTCTCAATAATAAATTTTAGGTTTTATTGTAATTGTGTTCCTTGTTTTTACCTAATTATCAAATTCATCTTCATTTTTTAAAATATTTTGTATTTTTTATTTATTTATGAACTGATAATTATAGTGTGATTTATGTTTTAGGGTTATTCATACGCCTAATAAGATCATTCCAATACCATAAGCCCAATCTAGAACATCCTCACTCAAGATCAATGGATAGGTGAACTCCTGCCAAAAGGACGCACACCATACCCAAGCCACTTATTTATCGTCATCCATCAAATCCAATCAATCAATCTCTCGCACTCCACAATACGTCAGAGAGCAGTTTCATTCTTCTATCATATAAAATCTTCACTACTACAAAAAGTATATACAATGACGCCACCATTACCACGGACCTTCGAAGGACCGTGGTGATATCTCTAAATTCATGCGCCTATATAATTTTTTATTTTTTATAATTAAACGTTGTTAATTTATTACCATGATTTTCTAAAACAACAGCGGTGATGTAATTTGACGTTTCATGAGTTCGACTCTCAGCGCGTGCTGTTTCATGATTTCTTCAGAATTTAGCACCACCTTTCATTTTTATTTAATTAAAAAAAGATATATCAATACAGTTCTTTAAACTAACCATTGTGATATATTTTATAATTTTTAAAATATTTAATTACTTAAAACTTGGCTTTTTAAAAATATCATTAGGGTCAATATTATATCACCACGGTTTCTAAAAAAATCGTTGTGATATATATATATATATATATATATATATATATATATATATATATATATATATATATATATATATATATATATATATATATATATATATATATATATATATATATATATATATATATATATATATATATATATATATATATATCACAACAATGACGTTTTTTTAAAATAAATTTCATCATATATCACAACGATTTTGAGAAAGAACTGTGGTGATATCATTTAATCATTTTACACAAAGTTAGCTAACTTATCTCTTGAGTTGCATATTTTCATTTCCATCAAGAAGCAACCCCTGATGAAACAACGCGATTTTCAATCCTAACAAAATGTACATCACCATTTCAACCCCAATGATACAAAACCAGTTTCAATCCTAACGAAACGCTCAACACCATCTTTAAACCTGAAGAAACAACAACATTTTTAACATTTTCATCTGCTTTCGTACCTTCGAGGAGGGAGCTGACACCGTATTCTTCGTTCTTGACTAGCCTTCGATTTAGTTGTCGAGGAGGAACTTTAAAATTCTGAAAATATTTTTTTAATTATTCCTCACATTTCCGATACGCAAACTTTTTTGTCCCAAGCATCTATAGTACATACATTTCCATTGTTATTTACGCTTATGTATTTGTAATGCTTTTATATATATATATATATATATATATATATATATATATATATATATATATATATATATATATATATATATATATATATATATATATATATATATATATATATATATATATATATATATATATATATATATATATATATATATATATATATATATATATACACACACACACACATGTGTGTAATTTATAGGTAAAACAAATACAGGTCTGTAATATATGAAAAAATAAAATATTTTTTTAAAGAAAAAGTATTTAATCATGGTTATTTATACCAACCGTTGTTATAGATAAAGAGCAAAATATTATTAACCATACATTCACTAGGTTTCGAACCCATGACCATTCGTTTTATATCACAACGGTTGTATATCTTGACCGTTGTGATATATAGCACACTACCTAGTTTATCACAAAGGTCCAACCCTCGTGGCGGAAAACAACATACATACAATCACACCCTACCTCACAACAGTTGGTCAGGCGTGGTTGTATCCTTTTTTAACCGTTATGATAGATGTTTTTGGTAGTAATGTTTATCTACAAATCTTAATAATTACAATTTCATTCTCTTTTGCAAAGTTACACCTCCCTTGCCTCATTGACTTTGGCACTTTTTCGCTTAGCCTCGTCTAGGTGGAAATTGTTCTAAGCTACCCAAATATTCCTACATTACTTAAGAGTCGTGGCTAAGGGTAATTTATATATAACACACGTACTCTTCAACCCAACGATGCGACTTTTCAAAATGACAAAGCTGTGACGGGTTCTCACACCCAAACCAGACAATACTTCGTAGCTGTAATGGCAAGAATTTAAGGTCGATTAGAACATTGATGCCGACGCCGAGAAACGACTTCTTGATTCTCACAAAATTCCATATTGAATTCATCGTATATTTTCTATTTCTTTGTTGCAATCACTCTATCAATCAATCATATCACAAATATATTCTCATCCGATGGTGATATCCAAATTAATTTGAATGGCCTCTCGTCGTAACGCCGATCTTGCGACTAAAGTCACCTCGCCGATTTCAACCTTCGCTATGTTGCCACCTTTTATCGTCTAGGGTTTCGAGATAAAGAAAAAGTAGACGGTGTCTCCAACGAAGAGCTTCAGTTGTGATAAAGACCATGGTAGCACACCATAAAGTATCGAGAATCTTGATCGGCGGGGGAAGTTCATGTGGCAACTTGTCTAGTGAGATCTTCGAGGAATTGGGAATAGATAAAGGAAGATTATCACCTTAAAAAGGCACAAATATGTAGGCGTTCAATGATTCCATAACTCATCATTCGGATACTATAGAATTAATATTCTCTTTGGGAGAAGAACGAGCGTGTGGGCTGTAGACGTGCAATTCTTAGTGGTCTCCTGCGAAAACGTTTACAATTGCATCATGGAGAAACCTTTATTCGCGACATTTGACACCTCACTTTGACCGTCTACCTAAAGATGAAGTATCACAACAAGTATGACAAACCACTTACCTTGCATGTTGACCTATATGGAGCCCACTCGATACATGAAACACTGATGAAATAATCAACTACGACAATTCTCCAGCAAGAACGAAAGGTGAAAGGGTTGTCATTTCCATCCACAACTGAAAATCAACACTATAGATTTCGACGCACGCTTAAACGAAAACACAATAAATTACGAGTATGACCTCCCTATCGAAGAAAAAATGAAAGTCTCAAGATTAATTCCAAATAGAGAATTCATAATAGTCTAACTCAACTAAAACCCAACCAAAACCTCATGAAGATAAGGGTCAGGCTCCTGACCCAATAGAATATAAGGTTATGGCTACCACTTAGATGCAATGACCCACGTATTTTTCACATGATGTTCAGGTTTTATTGAAAACACCTTTCATGTTATACTCTGATAGCCAATTTACCCACCACTTTACTTCAAATTATCCTTTCATACCAAATACATTAATCCAAACTATCACATTGTCAATAAAAAATTACAAAATTACAAGCCAACTAACAACTTGCCAATATGCTCATGAAACCATTGTATCCCCCTTCCTTTGCTAATTTTATACACAAGCTAAGATTAATCACTTTATATCCGTAGTGTGAGAAAGGCTATTAGTTGACTTATCATATTTATTGTAAGTTAGTTGTAGATTAGCAAGGTCACTACTATTTGAGTGACTAGGTGCAACGTGCAATTCAATATTATTCTCTAGAATTAGTTGGACCAACTTAAGGGCCTAGTTTGTAATAACAGTAGTGTGAAGAGAATTAATCCAATGTCCGTAAATTTCCATATACAAACATCTAAGAGATGCAACTTTTGAAATCAGTGCTTCCTAGTAATACTAGTAATTTTTAAATAGATATATTATAGAGACAAGATTCTTGAGTTTGGTTCCCTACACATTTGAAATGATTCCTTGTAAGAGATGTTACTCATTTTTGTTGAGTTTGATGGAACATGCTAATGATTCTAAAAACTGTCGAAGGAATACCACGGGCTTTGGAGGTGCCGCTGGTATTTGTGCAAAAGTTACCTTTGACGGAAACTTTAACTCAACAACACGTAAATGATTTGAACTCTGAGGAATATGTTGTATTTTATGATTTCATCACTATGAGAATTATAACCTATTTGTTTTCACTTTTTTTTAATTATATATATATATATTTTAAATGATTTAGATACCACAACACAACGATTCCCAAAAATGAATTTACTTTTACTTTACTGTTATCGACATTTTTCTACTTATGAGTCTGTCCCTTTTTTGCTCCTCATTCTTCTCACATTACCTGCTCAAATTTCAACTTTGCTCCCCTATGTCCTCGTATATTTTTGTGCAATTATTCTTTTGTCTGTTCATCTTCCTAGTGGAACGCGCAGAGCAACAGAATCTTAACAGTCGCGATATTATGTCGGTAACAGACAACCCAAAACTTGAAACAAACAAAACAACAAAGCAAGTTTTTCAGGCGTGGACAAAAATATTATACTGTCTATTTATTCATTCAGGTCACAAGTTTCATAAAACCATAAGAAAAAAAAATTCATTAAAATTCTTATATAACCCTTCAAAACACTTCTCTAATTTAAAATTGACCTAATCTTAAAAGGACCTTGCTAAAAATCTAATAAAGGGTCAAAAACATTATTTTAACCCTTCATTTTCTTTCACATTCTCGCCCATTTGCTAAGAGTGTCAAAAGTTATCTCTAATCACTAAAATTGGAGGAAGTTTCATCTTCAACAATCAACACCCGAATGCGTCGACCCTTGTGATCTTCAACCTCTTCACAGATGACAAGAACATCCTACATGACAAAATAAAATAAAATAATTACTACATTAATTGGAAAAGAATGTTTAATAACGTCGACACCTTTGAAAAAAGTGTGTCAGCATCGTGTGTCTTGTCCGCAGTAACTTTCAATCATAAAAAGACATGGTTAAGTAAACTTACTCCCAAGGGACATCACCAACCATAATCAAATCTCCTTCACCATCTTCATAAGTTAGCACATGACATCTCTCTGATTGCATTCCATCCATCTCAGTGCCCCCTGTTCAAAAAAACATGAAACATTAGTTTCATTATTATAACTCATTTTCACAATAACAAGGGACATTGTTTGTAATTACATAGAATTGTAGTGTCGAACATATGTTCAAGAGTATTCACTAGCTCTTGATAGCAATTATGTGCTAACAAATTAAGTTTCCTCCCAATCGGAATCCCTTCCATATAAACCTTCACAAAGAAACTGCCGTAATCGCCGCAATCATTAACTTCACCACCTTGTTGCTGCTGGAATGGTTGCCAATGTCCCCTTGTGGAAATGCTCAATCCAAGGTTAAGATCAGGATGGAGATGCTGTTGTTCATCAATGTTTTGGTGTGTAATAGAGGAAGAGAGATTGGAGGAATTGTTGTGTGTTCTTCTTCTACTGTTGGAAGAAGAGGAAGAAGAAGTGGAAGGTTTACCCATTAGAGAAGAATATTGTAATGGAGAAATTGAAGCCGCCAGGTGAAGGTTTAAATAATAAAGAAAGAGAGAGATTTTAGAGTAGCAGCGCCACCACGCATCTTCTTTTTTGTTGGTCCTATGCAATTTGTAGACCTGAAAATGTTGCCATGGTAGCCGACAATTACAGGTGTCAATGAATAAAAAGTGTACTACTAATGAGTGCTTTTTACAGAATTTGACAAATTTTAAGAATAATTTTGTTTTGTAAAAGTAAATGCTTCATTTTTGGTTTTCTTTTAATACTATTTACTAGTAGTATGATTCTTGGGAGAATATAATTTTTAATTATTTAAGGTTTGAATATTAAAATTAGAATAAATCTTAATTAAAAATAGTTTTAGTATTCTTTTTAGTTTTATATCTTAATTTTAAGATTTATTTTGATTCCTTAATTTAAAGAAGATTCATATTGATATATTAATTCTTCAAAATATATTATATTAGTCATTTTTGTCTAATTAGCGACGGAAAAAGTCAAAAATTGATCATTAAATTTGTAGTTAATTAGACGAAAATGATTAATATGGTACATTTTGAATAGTTAAGGGACCGATATGGGTCTTTTTAAGTTAATGGAGCAAAATGAATCTCGAACTTAAGATAAGGGACTAAAACAAGTATTAAATCTTAAAAAATATGTTATAACTGGTTTTTGAATCAATTTTAAAATTACATTAACTTTGTTAGGATATTACTCCATCCGTCCTAAATTATAAAATTATAAAACAATTATAAAACGTTTTAAACATTTATTGCGAATAAAGAAACACAATCAATGTTGTATTAATACAACAAGAAAAATAAATTTTAATTATTTAAATTTATATTCCATTATGAAACCAGAATAGTCAGTGTGCTCCATGGTAGGCATCACACTTTGCTCTGATGTGGTGGTGTAAGTGGATCTATAATGTTAGTACTTCAATGTTCAAGTTAGTATTTGAATAGTGGAGATTGAGTGAATTTTAAAATCTGAGAAATCATACATGTTTTGGCGCCAACAATGATGTGTATAGGATGGTTTGAAGTGGGCCTTATGGACCATTTTGGGCGTAGGAGAGATCCAGAATAGTTGCCCTCAGACTTGTTACGTCGTGATGCATATGAAGTCTTCTATAGTGGGGTCGAGTATTGCCTTATCCAGAACCTAATGTCGAGGAATGGAAAAGACCCGGAATAGTTTCATTAAATGTCTGTCTAATCATTGAGATATTTTTATGAGTGTTCTACACAATACTTTAAGTGAATAAGGTAAGGTGTGACACTCCTGTCTAGGCCATTTGAGTGCACTTGAATACATATATATTTTTGAGGTGTCATCTAAACCGTCGATTATTGATCTTTGAATTTCTAAAATTTTATGACGTTGGTTCCTCTCCCCCTTTTCTTATATAAGACTTCCTTTGACAATTCTCACATCTTTCGTTTCCTTTCGCATTTTCCTTTGTTATTCTTGTGCTTCCTTCTTCTTTCTGCTATCATTTTGTCGACTCTTGTTCCCAACTGCCTTTCCCTTCGCAAGGACCTTTACATTGTCGACCATTCTCTATTTAAATAGCCTCATCTGCTTCGTATTCTTCTTCAGATACAATTTCTTGCCTTAACCTTTTATCCCTTTTACCATCTTTCACGGATAACCTCGGAGGTATACCTGTAAATATAAATGGAGATTGTGGGGGTGACTATCTTATATCGGCCATTTATAGGAACCCTAACATTCTTGATGATGAGCCTTTAGAGGTCAATGGTTCTATTTTAAATTTAGCTGTTCTAAGTGATAGTTTTGAGGACTAATGGAGTTTTCGTTGAGAGTGGAAGTGAGCTTCTTAGTCCTTTTCATGGTAATGAGGATGGAAACTCCTGCACTCCGACTTATATGGAATCGGTTACTCGCTTGGCTTCCCCTGTCCGAGATTGCGAAGAAATAGAGCGGTCCTCATTTTCCAAAATTAGTTAAAAACTATTTACTTCACTGGAACCTTAAAAGCGACATATGGTCGAGACCTCATATTTAGGAAAAACAATCCAACTTCTCATCGACATTCTCTTTTACGTGAAAGCTGGGGAGACGTGGTGAAACGAGGACGTGCAACTTTGGTACAACCTCATGACTTTAGACTTTATAACTGGGTTGACTTTGACCTGGTAGGGACCATTTCTATGTATAACTGCTCAGAGAAAGTGTAATAAGCCCAAATAAAAGTGGGTTTGTCTTCTGATTAAGTGGTTTCCCATATTGATGAAGGAAAAAGAATATTTAGTCAATATGATGGGTGTGTTATCCCTTTCTGAGAATTCCTTTTTACTCGTCTAGGGTTTCGGTTACCCTTTACTCGTTTGAAGAAGAATTGTTGAATCACCTAGCCATAGCCCCTCCCCAACTTCATTCTTCTTTCTAGGCTTTTGCCAAAATGTTCAAATATTGGTGCGAGTATCGTGAAATTGAACCCTTCATCAGAGATTTATTTAACTTGTTCTCTATGTCTTGTACTTCAAAGGATTTCGTTTTTGGTCATGGGATCATTTATATCCACCAGTCGACCAAGATGTTTAGTGTTTATATAGATAGTTGGAAAAGTCTCAAGTATCATTACATCTTGGTAAACCCCCTGACTCTATAGGCCCATTCAATTTTTTGTAAGACCATCGGTGAGGCTTTGATAAGTGATTATTGCAACGCACTTTTAGCTTATTTTATTCTCGTCTTATTGTATGTTTTTATCATTTTGTGTCACTTTTATGCGCTGTCTTTTTGCTAATTTTAGTTAATATGGAAGTATCGGGCAATATTGGAGTGAAAAAGACAGAAAAGCATGCATTTGCATGTCATCTCAATACAAAAGACTTGTGGCTAACACAACCTGAAGTTGACACGGGTCGTATTGGCCCTTAAAGCTCCCCCATAGTAAAAACATGAAAATAACACTGGATAGTCGTGTTACATGACACAAGTCATGTTCCTAAATACCACCCCCGTGTGTCAAACAACACTGCCTGTGTTGCACCCAATGACAACTATAAAACTAAGACTTTTTGGAGTGCTTTGTGACGTTTGGAAGTCTAAAACTAATCAAGAGTTAATGCTTAGTTGATATTATGGATAATACAAGAATCATGAGTGATTAATTATTGGTTTTCTATATAAGTAATTCATTTGAGCTTGAGACAAAGGGGTCACTAGTGTTGCCCCCCAAAATTTGCCCAACCTTTTTTCTTTAGCTGGCTTTTGTTTCTTTGCATTGTTCTAGCATTTGCATTGCATAGCATTTTTCATTTAGAAGGGGATCAAGAGGTTGTGCATAGCAAGAAGAGGTCACCAAGAGTTTGGAGCCTAAGCAAGGGATTTTACTCAAGCATGAGTGGTTATCCAGTTATTAAGAAATGGTCAATGCTCTTTGAAAGAGTCGATGGGTTTATGTGGATTAGCTCCTAACTTGGAGGCCAGTTGAAGATCATAAGAGGTTGTGAATTCATGGTTAGGGATATGGGATGTTGAGAAAGCTCTTTGAGTGCTTTGAGATCCATATTGGAGTTTGTTCAAGTTGTTGTGTGATGTGGAAGAAGCCACAGTCAAAGGTGTTGCATCTAGGGTTTTCATCTGGTCAACCCTAGGTCAATTGTGAAATTGAAGGAGATTAAAACTCAATTCCAAGTCTATATGGTCATGGGATGTTGTGTTGAGATGTCTAATATATCATTTCAAGATCAAGTCAAGAGGAATCAAGAGTGTTAGAAGTTACTAAATTAGGGTTCTCAGTGTAAAATCCCCTATTTAGTGTCTAACTTCAAGACCACCTATCTCAAGATATAAATCTCATCTCATCTTGACCCCAACATGAGACTTGTAGAACATATTTCTAGCTTTCTTTTGAGTACTATAAGTCATTCATCTGATTTCTAGAACTCAAGTTATGAGGCTGGCAAGTTACAGGTCCTCAGATGAATGTGATTTTGGTCAACAAAAGTCAGCCAACTTCCAAGCCACTTTTGACCTAGAAGGATGTTTCTCCTCACTTTGACCCAGACATGAAAGTTGTTCCTCATGATCTTAGCTTTCCAAAGAGTACTAGAAGTTCTTAATCGGATTTGTAGAACTCAAGTTATGAAGCTTTCAAGGAAGGGGTATTTTGGGAAAGTAAGGTTATAGGTCATTTTCATTATAGGTCCATTTCACCACTTTGCATACTTCAAATGAAAATCTTTCCAACATGAAAATTTCTCCAAATGGGGTCATTGGCTCAAGCAAACCTCAAGGAACCATTTATATGGCTTGGATAGAAGATTGAATGAAGGAAGGTTCATGGAAATGTCATTAAAAGCACAAAAATCAAATTAAATCATATTGTGTCCATTTTGTGCATATTTTGAGTGCAAATCACATTCGAAGAACAATGTCATTTTCAGAATTTGAGTTTGATGAGTTTTGGTATGTCAATTTCAAGCTTGCTTCAACATGAAGGTACACATGCTACATTCACCATTAAGATCAAATAAGGGATCAATCCCAGCCATTGAGGTTCCCTACATCCCAAGTAACATGAATGGATTCATTTGCAGCTGTGTAAGCTTCATTTTCGTGCACATTCATAAAGCTCCAAACCAAGAAAAGTTGGATTTCAATTGGGCTTCTACGGACTGCAATTGGGCTTTCTTTGCTTCCAAATCCATTGCATATAATCTCATGATCATGAACAAAGTCTCAGAGGGGATTTTGGTGGAGAAATTGCAGAGAACATATTTGGAAAAAGTGAAGAAAAAGTGAAACACGAATTCTCAGATTCACACCATTTCAAGCAAAATTGAGCATAACAAAAGCTTCCTTGGAGTTTGTGGAGTGATTCTGGTTGGTTTTCTCTAAGCTTCATCAAAGAACAAGGCTCAGTGGAAGCTCTCCACTAGGTATTCTTCCAATCCAAATTGCTATCTGTTTAAGCCATGTTTACACATCATTTTTGAATGTT